GACTGTGGTCGAGGGTTACTCTTTCAAGGGACTCTCCTCTTATAGAAAAAGTGTTCCCGGTGAGGAGCTTTCACAGATTGCTGAACTTGGTGGCTACAGTTTTTAGTATGAGAAGCAAGGCCACACTTCACATACAAATGTAGCCAAGGAAATAGATATGTTCCTGGCCATGATATATTTTAAAGGTCACAATCTTCCTATCAGTGTGAAGGTTTTCATGTCTTCCACATTTCTGCATTGCTTAGGAACTGTATCAGTGAGCTCACTTGCTTCCTCCTCACAGCCCAAATGATAAGTGATCACTTCTTTCTCAATCTTTTCTGAAAAAATATTGGTACATCCAAACCCAGGAAGGGCATTGAAGAGGCAGAAAAGGGAGGAGGTGGTCTGTGGGCTGGGTGACATTCCCAAACCACCTTCAAAAACAGCCCCACATAGAGCATGTTTCAGAAATCCAAATGTCATTGCAATTGGAAGATGAACTAGAGACACGTACTTCTAGATCAGTGGTTCTCAACCTGTGGGTCCCCAGATGTTTTGGCCTTCAGCTCCCAGAAATCCTAACAGCTGGTAAACTGGCTGGGGGTACTGAGAGTTGTACGCCCAGAAACCCACAGGTTGAGAATGATTGCTCTAAAGGTTAGACACTCATGGCTCATATACTACTTCAGTGTAATATTATGTATAGACATTTGGACTCGTTGAGGGAAGAACAAGTCCCACTCTATTCTGTTCCTTCCGACCTCATCGAGAATAAGACTGTGTCCAATTCTGGACCTCACAATTCATGAAGTATATTGGCATGCTCTTCTTCCATCCTTCCCTCAGTAAACACAGTGGTAGAGGGCTATTATTCAGGGGACTCCCCCCTTAAAGGAAAAGTCTTCCCAGTCAGGAGTTTTCCCAAAGCTGAACTTGGTGCCTACAGCTTTTGGAGTGACAAGCAAGGTCAAGGAAGTTGATGTGTTCCTGGGCATGACTCGTTTAAGAGAAAATGGGATACCCAGGGCAGAATAAGATGGAAATTAGAGAGATAGGTTCTCACACCTCAAAAATGATGAGTAGTTCAGTGTATTTTGGCATACCTTTAAGTTTTGACTAGACATTATTTTCTAGTTTAATGTTGGGCCAGTGAAGCCTTCCATAAGTAAATAAAAACATTTTGAATCTTCTGGGGACTACTGCAACGCTTCTCCCTGAATGCATAGAGGGATGATTTCTAACGATGATCTTCATTTATCTTAGCCTTTCTAATTGGGAGGCCAAATCTATGCTTTTTTTCACATGCTTGGGTTAAGATAGAGAAGTAGGCTTATCTCTTTCCCCCCCTTTCTCCCTCTTTTGCTGTTCCTCCGCACGCAGGAAAGGATTCAGAATGCAGCTGCTTGTTTACCTTATCTGTTGTAGTCCAGTTCATTTGGTACAGTAGGATCAGCTGCAATAGGATCTCATTATTTTCCCAGTCAATACCCATGGCACAGTTTTTTGTATATTGCAGACATTCCTCTTCAAACTAATCCTGAAAGTCTGTATTTCTCCAGCCTTCTTGGACGACCCTCCCAATGCTGATGCAGATAAAAAAAGAAAGCCTTTCAGCTAGAGCAGGGGTTCTCAAACTGTGCTCCATTGAGCTCTTATAGCTCCCTGAGTGATAGTGGGGGTCATGCATAGTGACCTGCAGCTTCCTGCCTCCTCCTTTTTCCTCCTGAGAAATGCAAGGAAATTAAACTTTTGAGCTGTCACAAACAACAGTGGCAGCAGTGTCCTTCCAGGGCGCAGACCCTTCTCTTATTCCTGGCTGTCCAGGTTCTTTTCCTTGCCACCCAAACCCTCTCCCTCTGCTCTGTTTGCTTCCAAACCCTATTTCACTCCCTCCACTTAGGGGATGCTTTTATTGTGTTTGGTTTTCCTGCATGGCAGAAGGGTTTGGACTTAATGTAGTCTGGGGGTTTTGCTATTGGTAGTAGTATTAGTAGTATTAGTAGTATTAGTATTATTATTACAAAGGCTGGGTGAGCATCTGTTGGAGTGCTTTGATTATGTTTTTCCTGCATGGCTGAAAGGGTTAAACTGGGTGGCCCCGGGAGTCTTTCACAGAAATACTGATAATTTTATGTTGGTTAAAATTGTTCTTCATTTGGAATATTGTATTGTTCTTTCTTTCCTTTCCTTTCCTTTCCTTTCCTTTTGCACTGTGTGAATTAATTCACACACTCTCCATCCGTTACAGGCTTGGCCCATGGCTAATATACATTATACTCGGGATGGCTTACATATGGAATAAAATGCCCACAAGACGCAAATACAAAAATCAATAAAAACAAACATAATTAAAACAAGAACACAATAAAATAAACAATAAAATAAGAACACAATTCAAACAAAACATACCAATATAAAGCAGCAATGTTGGAAACCAATCAAAATCATGCTCATCATAGTAGTACAGTGGGTGTGACCAGGTTATAGAAGGGCCGGGCATGCAATATAGTACAAGTAGCATACCAAATATACTATAACATATAAACATTTCTAGAAAACATTTGATTCTAAAAGAGCTCCATAGCTGAAAAAGGGCGGGGTACAAATATTTGAAATAAATAAAAGTTTGAGAACCCTTGCGATGGAAAAATGAGGAAGAAAGGGGATACTGGATTGACATAAAACAGAGTGTGTGTTCTGGTATGGCTGTACCAGGAGCTCCAACTTCATTTTCCTCCTGTTAAAGTTTGCAGTTATAGGATCGGCCACATGTCCATCATCATTAAGTTTTGGTCCCGCCCCTTGCTCAGGGCAATTGGGAAGGGAGCCATTTTGTTTAGTTAGTCTCATCAAGGAAAACTAATGTACAGGACGTGTGCAAGCTTCCCCTGTACAAAAGCTTCAACCCTTAAGACTTTCCGGGGGAGAACAGTCTTAAAAGCCTCCAAAGATTCTAAAGATTTCCAGGGAAACAGCCCTAAAGCTTTGAAGAATTTCGGAGGGTAACAGTTTGGAAGACCAAAGAACCACAGCTGGAGAATATCTAAGGTCCACTCGGTGCTTCGAGATGCAGTTCGACCCGGTAGCAAAGCCCACATCAGTAAGAGTTAGATTACAGTCAGCCTGGGAGAAATTAAAAAGGGATTTTCCTTTAAAGTAAAGAAGAAGTTATTCAAGACAGTTGCCTGTCTTTCGTGGGCAAGATTAGGAAGCCAGCAGTTGCATAAAAGCCTGGAAGCATTTGGTTAACTTTATTGAAGACAAGAAAAGTTTCTGTTTGATTGTTCATTAATAAAGGACTTTGTTATACTTCACAAGCCATCTAAAGATCATTTGTGGTGGAAAACCTCTGAGAACTTCTCTTTGGGTCCCGCTGGGCAAAAGTTGCACGTCCTGTTCTAAAGGAAATTCTTTACAGGCCCAGCGCACGACAGAACAGTTTGTGCAAGGATTTTTTTTTTGTCATGAGCATTGTTAGCTTTGTCAAATGAAGCCACCATGCCAAAAGAAGCATGGCAGATATTTAAAGAAAACAATATTGGCTGAGCTAGAGGAGCCTTTGCCTGAGTCGGCCAGATAGTTCGCCTTTGTTTTTGCTCTTGTCCATGGTTATTCAGGTTTTGAAATGGAAGTGTTTGTGTATGCCTGAAAATCGCATGTAGATTAATGGCAACTCCATGAGTTTCCTAGGGCTTTGTTATGCAAGAAGTAGAGAGGGCAAAAAGCTGCCTATTCCATCTGCTTATCCTTTCTCTCATATGCTTTACATAGGGCAGCTCTTGGGTTCTGATCCTATGCACCAAACAGAGATCCGACTGGCAGACGGCCTAAATAATTGCAGCGGAAGAGTAGAATTGCTCCATCATGGTGAATGGGGCACCATTTGTGGAGATGGATGGGGCGTTGAGGAAGCCACAGTGGTATGCCAAGAGATGGGATGTGGAACTGCCAGCTTGGATCAAAGGGGAACATGGAATGGGAGTGGAACCAGCCCCGTTTGGTTGGATGACGTCCATTGCAAAGGGACAGAATCTTCTCTGCATCAGTGCTTGGCAAGTCCTTTGGGGAGATATGACTGTGATAGTGGGAAAACGGCTTCCGTTGTGTGTTCAGGTAAGTTTATCAACCATGATTAGCTTGAATACATTTTTTTCAGTGACTGAGGTTTCCAACTACACCCTTCCAGATGCTGTTGAACTGCATCTGTGTTCCAAAGAGAAGGGATTAGTGGAAGATAACAGGAAGAAGTATGGCATAGTGGTTTGAGTCTTGGGCTAGGACTCTGGGAGACCTGGGTCCCAGCTGTGGTGGGAAATTTAATAAACTCATTGGATTATTTTGAAGATTTGTGTCCATTTATTCATCCTTCCAGGAGAGGAGTGTGAGCAGAAAGGAATGTATTGGGGCAAGGGATAATGGACTGATATGGGTTTTGGTATTTCAGCTCCAGTTAATACAATGTGTACCAGAGAGCTAAACAGATATGAGCAAATATTCCCATAAATCAATCAGGTCATAACAAGAAAACACCCAGAGGCTCTTTTGAAAGCCACCAATGTATGTCCCACATGTCTTCCAGGGCTTCGTGAGGGGATTATGTTAACTAAGGTGTCGTCATCCCCTGAGGTGTGTCTATGCAACATCCCAGGGGGGTTAATGGAACTAACTCTGAAACTAGGGATGATGTTCATGTGGGCTCCCTAATTACTCTCTATGGAGCTGAGGACTATACGTTCCATCATTTTGGGGTCTGGTTTTCAACAGCAAGATGACCATCTTTCTAGACTCCTTTAGTGGTGTTGGACTACATGGCCCTTGGAATCCCTTCTAACACAAAAATATCTAGCCTCCATCTATAGGGAACCTATCTGTTGCTTGGCAGTCCCTCTTCCTCTTTCTGTGCCATGTGACTGAGAGAAGAGAGAGGGGAAAGGCTGCCCTCTCTCTTCCCCAAAGATCCTTTGTGATCGGTCACCCTATTGCTCTTGCAGCCGACACTGACAGGGACAGAGGGGCAGCCATCCATGTCCCCAGGTCACATGAACCCAGAAAGCATGCAATGGATGTTGGGAAATCCATAGCCAATTCTGCATGAGAACTACTGCCAGAAATCAGGGGAAAGCCCGAATCCTGGTGTGGTGTTTGGGTTTTCCTGAGTAATTTATCCAGGGTACAACCATATAAACAGCTTTTCTCAAATTGAGTTGGATCAGCCTGCATGGATAGTATAGCTGCCATCTACTTAACCCTTCAGTAGGTGTGTGATTACATGTCTATTAGATCTGTATTTGCACACCAGGTTTTACAAAATGAGGTTACAGTCTAAATGCATAATCTATCTAAAAGAAACAGCAGTATTATGAGCTTGTGCAGTGATTGTATAGGCAGTTGTTTTCCTATTTATAAAAGCCTGATGCATTTAAGTTAGACTGTTCTAAATGAGCTGTTGGACTTGAAAACACAAATGAAGACCTATCTCTTCCAGCCTGCCTACCCAGTCAGTTTTAACTATGACATTCTATGTTCACTGTGTTTTAACTTTTGTTTCAGGTGTTTCAATATGTGTATGTTTTAATACATGCTTTTATGGTTGCATTTTAACTATATTTAATTTATGGTTTTATAGAGGTATTTCACTGTGTGGTGCCCTGCCTATTAGACCTGTATTTGCACACCAGGTTTTACACAGTGGGATTACAATCAATGCATTCCCATCTAAGTGCATAATCTATCTAAAAGAAACAGCAATATTATGAGCTTGTACAGTGATTGTATAGGCAGTTGTTTTCATGTTTATAAAACCCTGATGCATTTAACTTAGACTGTTCTAAATCAGCTGTTGGACTTGAAAACACAAATGAAGATCTATCTCTTCCAGCCTGCCTACCCAATCAATTTTAACTATGACTTTTAAATCACATTCGATGTTCACTGTGTTTTGACTTTTGAGTCAGGTGTTTTAATATGTGCATGTTTTAATATATGTTTTTATGGTTGCATTTTAACTATGTTTTAATTTATGATTTTATAGAGGTATTTAACTGTGTTGTGCCCTGCCTCGAGCTGAAGGGAGAGGTGAATAATAAATATTAATATTATTTTATCTCTCCCTAATCAGAGGTAAGGTTGGTCGATGGTCCCACTCCATGCTCTGGTCGAGTGGAGGTGTTCCATAACAAGAGTTGGGGAACCGTGTGTGACAATGGCTGGGATTTAGAGGATGCCCGTGTGGTGTGCCAGGAAGTAGGCTGTGGAGAACCTCTAGGAGCAGCCACTGGAGTGAGATTTGGCCAAGGGTCTGGTCCCATTTGGATGGATCAAGTGAACTGCACAAGGAAAGAGAATGTTTTGAAGAAATGTCTTCAAGAGAAGAGCCTCAACCTCACCTGTGACCACAGGAATGATGCCAGTGTGGAATGTGCAGGTAATCGTCATGAAAGAGTAACCATAGAAAGGTCAGGTGAAGACACACATTCTTCCATTCTCCCTCTCAAATGCACCTTTAAAAATACTTTTTTAAAAATGCTCTTCTCAGTCTGAATCTTGTGTTGCATCGTTTGAAGCGAACTTTGGTTTGATCTTAGAAGAAAGGCAGGGTATCAATTCAATCAACAAATGATTTAATGAATAGCTAAATTAAGTCCAGTGTAAGACTATCCACCTCATCAGATGAGCCTATTTGCCCTCCATATGCTGCTTCCCCTCCACTTTCAGTATGGAGCCCATTAGATGACACACAGGCACTTCTGGCCAGGTTCCACACTGAAAGAAGAGAGGAAGCGGCGCACACTGTCTTAGTGGCAACACGGGAGTCTTCCTGTGTTGCCTTCCCAGCAATGAGGGGGAGTTGGATGGCAACGCTTCCCCCCATGGGGTGAGGGGTAAGCGAATTTGCGTGATGCGATGCATGGAGTGACTGCTTCTCACACATCTTTCCGGCAGCCCATAGATTCACAAAATGCAGGTCTTTATGATGAGGTCATATGTAATGTGGAAATGCCAGTGTGGGAATGGCCAGTTAAAGTATTCCCAAGAGGAGGCCATTGAAAAACCTCTAATGATTCCACATAGATACCAGGATGTCAGTATTCTTTCCCATTCCTTCTATTTTTTTCTTTATTCTTTTCTGCTCCTTCTATTCCCCCCCCCCCCACTTTCTATTTTGGCCTAAATTCTGTAAACCCACTTTCTGTTGCACCTGGAAACGCCTATGACCACAGCACCACACAAGAGTCCAAAGAACAAGCGAACAGTTTATTGTAAAAACAGATAAAATATATGAAAAACCAGGAATAAAGATATAAGTTGTATAATCCAAGAAAAGGTCAGCAATTGGTGATAACCAGGCAGTAATCCAAATGCCTCATGTGAATCCCAAGGTAATATAGTCCAGGAATAGCCAGAAAGTCACAAGTATAGCACAAGTCCACAAGCAAAGGTACATTTAGTAAACCTTGAGGAAGAATAGAAAACAAGAACATAGAAAGCTTCCAGGATACTTGAATGCATAACCAATCCTTGACTTGAAACAAGAATCCAACATTCACACCTACCTCATAGAATCATCGAATCATAGAATCAAAGAGTTGGAAGAGACCTCATGGGCCATCCAGTCCAACCCCCTGCCAAGAAGCAGGAATATTGCATTCAAATCACCCCTGACAGATGGCCATCCAGCCTCTGTTTAAAAGCTTCCAAAGAAGGAGCCTCCACCACACTCCGGGGCAGAGAGTTCCACTGCTAAACGGCTCTCACAGTCAGGAAGTTCTTCCTCATGTTCAGATGGAATCTCCTCTCTTGTAGTTTGAAGCCATTGTTCCGCGTCCTAGTCTCCAAGAAGCAGAAAACAAGCTTGCTCCCTCCTCCCTGTGGCTTCCTCTCACATATTTATACATGGCTATCATATCTCCTCTCAGCCTTCTCTTCTTCAGGCTAAACATGCCCAGCTCTTTAAGCCGCTCCTCATAGGGCTTGTTCTCCAGACCCTTGATCATTTTAGTCGCCCTCCTCTGGACACATTCCAGCATGTCAATATCTCTCTTGAATTGTGGTGCCCAGAATTGGACACAATATTCCAGATGTGGTCTAACCAAAACAGAATAGAGGGGTAGATTTACTTCCCTAGATCTAGACACTATGCTCCTATTGATGCAGGCCAAAATCCCATTGGCTTTTTTTGCTGCCACATCACATTCCTGGCTCATGTTTAACTTGTTGTCCACGAGGACTCCAAGATCTTTTTCACACGTACTGCTCTCGAGCCAGGCGTCCCCCATTCTGTATCTTTGCATTTCATTTTTTCTGCCAAAGTGGAGTATCTTGCATTTGTCACTGTGGAACTTCATTTTGTTAGTTTTGGCCCATCTCTCTAATCTGTCAAGATCGTTTTGAATTCTGCTCCTGTCCTCTGGACTATTGGCTATCCCTCCCAATTTGGTGTCGTCTGCAAACTTGATGATCATGCCTTCTAGCCCTTCATCTAAGTCATTAATAAAGATGTTGAACAGGACCGGGCCCAGGACGGAACCCTGCGGCACTCCACTTGTCACTTCTTTCCAAGATGAAGAGGAAGCATTAGTGAGCACTCTCTGTGTTCGTCCACTTAACCAATTACAGATTCACCTCACCGTAGTTTTGCCTAGCCCATATTGAACTAGTTTCCTTGCCAGAAGGTCATGGGGGACCTAGTTTCTCTCTTGTACACTATGTTGCCTGAACTAACTCTTAGGAAAAACAACTTGCTAATTAATAAGCAGCCATGAAATCATTTCGTTTCCCAAAAATTCTCTCTTCAACTTTCCCATGTAGACACTCTGACTGAAGCTGTCTATTTTTTGCTCTAATCTGTAAACAAAGGCTTTTGTTGACCTCCATAGCTCCAGGTGTTTTCCCCAGGAGCCTTCCATATCACTTAATTTTTCACCCAACTCCTTATCTAATGTTGCAGTTTTTGGCTCCTCTGTCTGACCTTGGAGCCTTGTACTTTCTGAGTCAGATTTTCCCCAGAGAAAACAATCATTTCTTGAATTTTCATMASTTTGTGMCCCAGGAAATCTCACAGGAAATCCCACAATTCTCTCTAAACCATCAGTGAACCCATCAGCCTCAGATTCAGGCTGTACTACAACACTTCCTGTGTTCTAAGCAAAGTAGAAACACCCTTCTCCCTGAGTAGTAAATTATTCTGAATTAGAACAACCTCTAAATTACAAATTTCCAGTCACATGCATCAGCTAGATTATCTGAGCTTTCAGGGAGGGGGAGGCGGTAGCAGAAACCCAGAGGCTGAAGAGGAAGCCGGAGGTGATCTGTGCTTGGGAAAAACCTGACCTTTTGAAGTGTGCTAGAGAACCGAGTGGTTATTTCTTGTTTGTAAGGTAGATAGGTTTTTTTTAAGGCTTTGTGATTGTTTTGGTGGCTGAGGTATCAGTGTGTTGGTATTTCTGCTTGAGGCCTTTTGAGGTTGTGTGTTTGGAGGGTGGGGGTGCCTTGGCCAATTTCAACAGAAAAGAAGAAAACATGAAAATGAACAAAATTTGGCTACCAGTATTAAAAAAAATTAAAATTATAACAGCAAATAGAGAATAACACTCAAACATAGGGGAACTCCAGACAGGAAACAGTAAGGGACAGCTAATCAACCCTCAACAAAGGATTCCCCCAGGCAGTTACAAGTCACACCTAAAAAGTGCCGGTCATCAAATCAAGGTGGCCAGTTGAAATATTCCCATCTAGCTCCAACAGACAAGAGTTCTTTCTCCCACCCTGGACTTTCCACAGATATATAAACCCAATTTTCCTAGTTTCTAACAGACCTCACAACCTCTGAGTATGTTTGTTTGTAAATATGTATAATTGTTAACCTATACTGTATGTACATTTTGGTTTGCCAGTTTGACTGTACCTCTTTAGTTTGGGAGGGGCTTCAGACACAGGACTCCATGTTTGTTATACAGTATCCCTTTAAGACCTCAATGGAGGTGGATGCCGTTTGTCTCTTTTCTAACTTCAGTGAGCACAGTTATAGTTTGAATTATATCTATATGCTAAAGACATTGGACTATGGACTAGTATGCTGAATATATACAAAAAGCTGTTAGTAAA